AGCCACCCGGACAGGTGAATAGACTGTGGGTTGCACAACTGAAGAATTTCTGCAAAAACTGTCAGAAACCGTCTCAGGGAAGGTCATCTGCATGCTCGTCGTCGAGCGGTTTGCTGATGTCAACGTTGTGAACAGTGTCCCATGGAGACGGTGGAGTTATGGTATGGGTAGGCATAAGCTATGGACAACGAACACAATTGCATTTTATCGATGACAATTTGAATGTACAGAGTTACCGTCTACCCCAATCAACCACCCTCCTTTCATTCTTTGCCTTAAGTAACCATACCAAAAGTAACACATCATACTAATTTGAGTGTCCCGGATCTAGTCTATGAGACCAGGCTGGGTCTTTAAGACATGGAATTAGTGTCTTGAGACGTATCTTGAAGGCATACATAAAATGTCTCAAGACATAGCACTGTTTTACATTAGTGTCTCAAGACATGTCTTCAAAATGTGTCTTAAGATGTCTTGAGACATGTATATGGCATGTGTCAAGACATCTCAAGACGTTTCAAGACAAAGGTGATGGCTGGGTATGTAGCTTTGACTGCATGCTGGCAGTGAATTCAGAGCCATTCAGTGGCTATCCACACTACAAACATAATTTTATCAGGTTCCTGAGAAGCAATTGTAATGACAGTCCACCATAACATACCAGAGAGTTTCCTGATTAGCATTGTGTATTAAAAACACAATTTGAGATCATTGTAACGGGATTTCGCCACTCTTAAAGAAACCTAGCAACTTTTATTTTTGTTGTATATTTTTATATTCAGTGATAGACATTTGTTCATTGCTTATGTATGTATGATCAAAAATGTATCAATAATTGTCCAACACCTTGAAAACCAACCCTTAGAAATATTCATCATGACACCAAGAGTATATTAAGAGTAGTTTTTCAGGCCTACCTAATCTATTTGCTGAAGGCTACTGTCCAGGGTTTAAATTACACATCAGCCTACCATGCTGATCTTGGGTCAGTTTTAGATTTTCCCCACTAATGATTCAAGTTAGGGTTGGGGGAGGTGAAGCTGATCCTAGATCTGTACCTAGAGGAAACTTCACTCTGGAGCCCTTCATTGTTGTTGCCTGTAACCCTACCTTTTTCCCATGATGCTTTGCCTTGTTTCTAAGACTGTCTTTGCAGCAAACAGACACACATGACTACAGGATCGGTGAACACTAACTTAAATGGGTAAGTCAGTTACATGACACAGAGTTGTACATACTACAATCAAATATATTATAAACCAATAAGCTCAAACATCATCATTGTTAGAGTTGCATTAGTTAAAGTTGTTAAAAGTATAGGATTCTCAGTACAAAACAAAATGTGTGATAATGAGAAATTTGCTGTGCAAAGCATTCTCATAATAATGTTATTATTTGTTTTTCTAATGTATTTATTTTCTCATGCCCCAGAGTTCTCCAGTAAACATCCAATGATCCCTAAACTCTATGTAATGCAATGGAAGCAAGATATGAAGAACCAGAGACTCTTGCTAAAGGTGAGGCCATCATTTTGCGAGGAATCTCCTCTCCATAATAAAAAACAACAACATTGTTCTTTATTGAAATTCCATACATTGTGAAAGATAAGAAGTTTAAATGTGTTACAAAAAATAATATATCCTTCTACAAATTGTAACACAAAACATCACAAACAAACAAATAAACACAAACAAGTGTTTCAGTAGACTTCCTGACCTTATTCTCACAGAGCATATTATTAAGTGTTGCAAAGTCATTCATTAACTCTACCTTTAAAAATATTGAGTAGGATGTATTTTTCTTTTAAAATGTCATTTTATGGATGATATGCGTAGCAGACAGGAGTATACGGTATACAGTTTCCTCTGGGGAAATGAAGTTATTCTATTCTATATATTGTTTATCCCTCCCTGGGCAGAATGCGGCACTGGCGGAGATTCCTCATGGGCCACAGGAGGAAAGCCTGTGTTTTGAGGGCCGCGTGCGTCTGTGTCATGTCCAGGACAGAGGTGTGGTATTAGAGCACTCAGCATTCAGTGCAACACAGACAGGCCTTGAGGCTCACAACGCCTCTCACTTCTCCAGGTACAACAGTTCAGTGGTCACCGCTCGCCAACTGTACCAGCATCCCTGAGAGAATAGGGGAACATTTGGAATGGAGTCAGATATTCCCTCAATAAATATGTAAGGAATTGTCAGTACCCAATTTTCTTTTCTTTAAACATCTCACAGCTTGAAAGAGTTTACTCATTGAATTGTGTAATGAGCTCTTTGTGGTTGCAGAATTGAATATGTGTCTAACAGTCATTATACAGATCCTTATCGTGAATACCAACCCTTATAAGAGTATCCTGTCAGACCGCTTGGGTTCCTTCAGTGTTGTACATGTTCATCCATTAAGTGGCAGTAAGCAACCACTTTGTTGTTCACAGTAGAAGGCGCAATTCATCTATTGTCACCACTTAACCAACCATGCAGTCCTGCAAAGCAGTCCTTCTCATCTCAAAATCAGGTATTGTGAGTTTCAGGACTACAGACAGCAACCTAAATTGTCATGATGATACTTCTTGGGTCGCTTCCACTTGGACCAAGCATGTCTACACTTCTGAACATGATTGAAATTGTCACTATTCTCTATCTCTCACCCCTGGAGCTGCCACATTGTTCACTCCGAGGGTTGGACATGGTGGTAACTAGTGCAGACAAATACTGGTACTGTGCCATTGTGGACTCGATGGACAGACAAACTCTTGCTAAGAGGCATCACTTTTCACATACATTTTTTTTCTAAATTGATGTATGATGCAAAGGGATATAATGTCCAGAGTTCAGGTTCAGAAACTGAAAATTCATTTTAGTAAGTAAAAGTAAATTGAGGACAACTCAAAACTAATATTACAAGCAATTGATTGATACATTACAATCTTGAATTGTTAAAGTATTGAAACATTAATACAATCCTTAAATGGACAGTGCCCTGTTTGTTTCAGAAACATGATGGCGTTTTTTCCCTCAATTTACCTGCAATGATTATTATTGTTAGCCTACATAGTCATCTTCCCCCTTACTTTATTTTTCAGTTGGCTAAATAGTCCTTACTTTTGTTTTATAGAATCATTGTATGGAGAGCTTTTCTATTCACAATCATCAAGTACCAGACAGTGAAAGACTGTTGTTGTTCACTATGCTAATGTGTTTGCAATACTGACAACATTGTGTTCCATTGACTACAGTCTGAATATGAATGCATGAGTATTTAAGATTGTGGGGCTTGTAAGAGTCCTTTGTTTTACTTGAGTATAACCCCTAATTATTGAACGGAGGTCATGAACTATAAACTTGTTATTTAACTCAATAATTCTATATAAATAAACGAAATACTATGCATATCTGTTTACACTGTAAAACATAATTAGTTCTGCTAACTAAAACATTTTTGTGGAAAGCGATTGCCTAGAACCATTCGAGCAACCCAACTCAAAATATTCCTTATGGTTATCTTTTTAAGTTGTAATTACATACGTTTTTTTGTTTTTTATGAACTTTTGTACACTAATTTGCATTATGTATTCTGAACTATAACGATTGAAGTTACTTGAACATAAATATTTGTTGTCTAAAACGTACACATTTAGGGTCCCTTCTACCTAAATGATTAACCTTTATTACTCTTAATTTTTTTCAAGTATTGTTAACTTGTGTAAGTACTTCTGATTGGTATTTTTCAGTGGTCGTGTCTTAATGTTTAACATTGTTTTATGTATTTGACGATTTGTAATTTTAACCCACCTTGCAGGCATTGTTGAGCACAGTGCTCATTCCTTTAGCAGTAACTGGAGGTAGAGCTGTAAGCATTGCAGGATGCTGCAAAAGCCTCTGTCATTAAGAGTGGTGCACACATTCTTGTTGATGGTGGGAATGGCTTGTCTTTCTCATTATTGAACGTCAATTTGCCCAACGGTTATGATATCCGTTCATTATGATTAATTACACCTCATAGCACAACAAACTGCTTACTACTATTTTAGAAATATAGTTTTCTTTCTTCAAACATGCATTACAACATTGAGTAAAAGTATCATAACGTCAAAAAAATGTCATTACCCACATTCCTCTATACAAATGTGGGAAGTTGTTGCAAGAACATAAAATGATTAAGTATTCATAACTTGCGTATCAGTTCAACACAGATAAATCAAGTGTGTTTTACTCAAATATCAATGTGTCTAACTAATACTCTTTTTAAGTAAAGAAGTAAAACAATAGAATCAAGTAAGAACAACTTTTCTAATAAATGTTAAATTGACTTTAAACTATTAAATAATCCTAACTTGCAAAAATGTTATAACTTTAGATTAGCAGAACACAAATAAATAAAGTTATAGTTACTCAATTACCTTACATTTGTTAACATTCCTCCCAAAAAAATTAAGTGATACATTTTTTTATTGACATCTGAGTGAGTACCACCTATATGATTTGAGTTCTACTGACAGTTGGAGATGTTTGAGTAGCCAAGACTCAATTTATGTAATGAGTTAGGGAGTTACAGTATGTTTTACAGTGTAGCACTTGTTTCTATTGAAATCAATAGTGAAATAGTTGCCTGACTTTATAGTTCTGTGAATGAACAACTATACAGGACAACAAATGATTAATTTCACCAACATTCAGCTAATAATCTTAGTGGGGTGTCTGCAGTTGAAAAGCGCACACGATGGCGCATGGACAAATTTGTTTGTTCTCCTGATGCTGCCTGTGACCTCTAGACCTCGTGTTGGCGGGTGACGTACTCAGAGTTGCTAATTTCTCAGAACATTCGACCCACACTCGAGGCATCACTCTTCCAGAACAGAAGAGAGTGGATTGAGTAGATGCCCACGGCGCAGCTTTGGCTTGAGTACTGATGCATGCGTTGATGAAGAAAGGAATTTAAATGGTTATTTTTAAAACAATTTCTGCAATACATCTGATTATACAGTGATAACTACTCAGTGGACATGTCATCACCCTCAGGTCAGAAACCAGCTCTCAAGACAGCGGCTTCAGGGCAAAGCAGGTTTCAGGTGACAGAAGTAACGGAGTTAGGACCCGCCACATCTGGAGAGCGCACGTCGGGAGGGACTGATGGAACTACGGGAACGACTGGTAGTAAGGGGACGGCAGGTGGAGAGGAGTCCAAAGGGAGATTTAGCGTAGTAAAGTTTCTTGATTCAGGTGGAATGGGGACGGACGCATCTGATGTGGCTCAGAATGGTGACACAGTCAGGAGCACGGGCAGCCATCGTTCGTCCGCAAGCGGTCATACTAACATTTCTGATACCCACTCAAATACTTATTATATGCGAACATTTGGCCACAACACAATTGATGCTGTCCCAAACATCGATTTCTACCGACAAACTGAAGCGCCTCTAGGAGATAAGTTGATACGGCCAACTCTTTCGGAGCTACACGATGAGCTTGACAAGGTACGTAACCTGCTTCTGTTTTGACGCGCCACTACATCGCTATTTACCAGACAGGTGGGGATTGATTGCGCACGCCTCGAGATAGCCTATATTGTTGCCAAGTCAAGGGTTTTCCACTAAAATGCATCAACTATTACCTACCCTATAGGTGTATATTGCAGAATGTCACTGTGTTTGTTGCTTGCCATTAACACGTTATTACACTTTTTGTCTAGGCTACTTGTTTTTAGGTTAAATCTACATTTTTTGGGGTCTACCTTTTCTATTTGGACACTTTAAATCTATATAGAGTGCCTTCAGAAAGTATTCACACCCCTTGACTTTTTCCACATTTTGTTGTGTTACAGCCTGATTTCAAATGGATTAAATACAGATGTTTTGTCACTGGCCTACACAATTTACCCCATAATGTCAAAGTGGAATAATGTTTTTAGACATTTTTACAAATTAATAAAACATGAAAAGCTGAAACGTTTTGTATTATAAGTATTCAAACATTTTGTTATGGCAAGCCTAAATAAGTTGAGGAGTAAAAATGTGCTTAAAAGTCACATAATAAGTTGCATTGATTTAAATCTACTTGAAAATCTATGGCAAGACCTGAAAATGGTTGTCTAGCAATGAACAACAACTAATCTGACAGAGTTTAAAGAATTTTGAAAAGAATAATGGGCAAATGTTGCACAATACAGGTGTGGAAAGCTCTTAGAGACTTACCCAGAAAGACTCACAGCTGTAATTGCTGCCAAAGGTGCTTCTATAATGTATTGACTCAGGGGTGTGAATACTTATGTAAATGAGATATTTCTGTATTTCATTTTCAATAAATGTGTAAAAATGTCTAAAAACATGTTTTCACTTTGGGGTATATTGTGTAGATGGGCGAGAAAAATAATGAATTCAAGCTGTAACACAACAAAATGTGGAATTAGTCAAGGGGTATGAATACTTTCTGAAAGCACTATAGTACATCTACAGGTCATCCTTACATTCAGCCTTAGTGACGCTGTACCACAGGAACAGACTGGGACCAAAAAGCCGCCTGTGCATTTCTAACACACTGGCCCATTTTTTTCCTAGTGGCCCCCACCCCAGCCCATTGCTTTCCATGAGTCCCCCGTTATTACCCAAATAATAGTCATTCTGTACAAAAAAAAATCTACATTTAGACAGACACACTGGCATTTGCCAGAACTACCCTATGGCCAGTCCATCGATGCTGTATCACAACTGCCAGTGTATATTGTCTATGCTAAGCTGAAGTGACCTCGTCTGTCATCACAGCGTTCCCTTCCACAGGGACCTTTCTTCTCCTTTGCTGTCCTTTGAATGGACAGCGTGACGTCAGGGGCATGACCCACACATTTTGCTCAGACAATGCTCTCTCTGACCATGCCCAAACGCTGATCACCGGCTACTCTTGGCAACTGACAGCCTTTGCAGCCACCAACAAAACAATGCTGGCGTGGTTCTCTCTCCCTTCCCTATACTCAATGGTCCAGTGTCCCGGTCTCTGGTCTCTAACACTTTATAGCCATGCTATCCTGTTGGATCACTCACATGCCTCTCATGGGGGCAGGTAACTTATAATGGATGACAGAGTAGATACATTAGTCCAGCCCACAGGCCAATATATTGTAACATCTATTCAAACCACAGGTTCTAGGCCTTCTATATCTAATATTCTAGATATTACACAATGTTTATGCATACATGCATACCAGGGGCGGCAGGTAGCTTAGTGGGTAAGAGCGTTGTGCCAGTAACTGAAAGGTCGCTGGTTCTAATCCCTGAGCCGACTAGGTGAAAAATCTGTCGATGTGCTCTTAAGCAAGGCACTTAACCCTAATTGCTCCTGTAAGTTGCTCTGGATAAGAGCGTCTGCTAAATGACGTAAATGTAATGTATGTCAGAGGTGCCATTTGCAGAGGAAACAAAAACTTCCCAAGAGTGATATTAGTGCCAATGGAATTTGAATATTGCACAAATGCAACTGAATTATACTTGAAAGGGGCAATCTGCAATTGCTACACCCATTTCTAGACTCTTAGATTAAGGCTGAGGCTAGGAGACCGGATCGAACCGCCCTGTTCCGCCCTCCGTTTTGCTTCTTAGTGATCATGCAACACAGAACGATTTGATAGATAGCACATCATTGAAATTCGCCAGAGTAGCCTGTTCCATCTCTGGGCAGCCGAACTAGTACATGCGCAGAAGGTAAGGTTGTTTGGATATCCGAAAGAACTCCAGATAATCCAGTCGTGCAGCCACTCCGTTAAATGAATGATATACCTATTGATTCTTGAAGAATATAACTTAGAAATGCCTCATGACCTTAGTTCAACTGTCATACCCCATCAAAACCCAAAATATATGCTTGTTTTACTTCATTGTTTGTAAACAATGAAAAACATGGTTAAAACTAGAATTCTGATAGCATGGATGGTCAGTCCTTTCAAATAATGATAATGCCCTTTTAGTGTACGAGCTGTTTGAAAAGACCGCCTGAAATTTCTGCCTGTTTTGGTGGGATGGAGTTTTGGCCTGCCTGGTGACATCACCAGGCAGTAAATTTGTTTTAACCACCATGTCTATGAATTTGAGAGGGATTACATTTCTCCAGCCCCATCCGTCAGCTGTTTACCAAAACAGCGGCGGGGTGAACCCCTTTGTTATTGTTTGAACTTCCGATTTCAGTTCAGCAGAAGATCCGCTTTTAGGGTTAAAGGTCATTTCCAATTGAGTCGGAAACGTTGCCTTTAATATGTTCATAGCCGATCATAGGCGATCAGATTGAATCTAGCCCTTAATGTTTGTCAGCATTTGCTATGTGTGGTATTTTTCAGGAGCCATTGGATGAGGATGGCTTTCCTATTGGGGAGGAGTCTACTCTTGCTGAGGAGGCTGCAGCCAAAGAAGGAACAAAGGAACAAGTAAAGGGAGGCACCATCAAGTTTGGCTGGGTCAAAGGTGTCCTGGTTAGTGTGGCCAGAACTGGGTCTGGGAATTAAACATTTTGGGGTCTCCGGCCCAAACATCACATTTTATTTTATTTTAGAACTATTCAAACTCTACCATGTTCTCCTTATTGCTCTGTGACGAATCATTGAATTGCACATCAATGTAAATCCTTTCAAAGACATCCAACACAAATCTAAAAACAAGCTTTCAAATGAATGGTTTCCCCCCACTATAGAAGTATGTGTTGGTAACATGAATGTTGTCACGTGTGTCTTTGTGTTCAGGTACGTTGCATGTTGAACATCTGGGGTGTGATGCTCTTTATTCGCATGTCATGGATCGTGGGACAGGCAGGCATTGGTACGTAGGTGATGACTCATGTTCAATCAAGACCAAAATATTTACAGTTTCAAACCTCATAGTATTGTTTTAGCATTGGGCATGTTAGTTTTGCGTCACCAAAAACCCCATTCAGGGTTTGCTCATTTTAGACTATTCCATTGGTCCTAAAGTGAAATCTCCACCCACCTGGGGCACCAGGTGACACAAAATAAACGCACCCCTTGTTGTAAAGTTGGTTATCATAAATTATATACTTGCAGGTATATTATTATTATGAGCTTTTTGTCTATAACTAGGGCCCAGAGTTTTTCCAGGTCAGGTAAAACAAATTCCTACTGGCCTTTGTCACAATCTATTTTACCTGTAAGCATGATGAGAATAATTATGTAACTAAAACATAATTTGCTCATATTTTTAACAGGTCTGACATGTGTTATTATTCTGATGGCAACTGTTGTAACCACCATCACTGGACTCTCCACCTCAGCCATAGCAACCAATGGGTTTGTGCGAGGAGGTAAGGGAAAACTTTATTCCTGATGAAATGCTAATATATTAAATATGCATTAGGATCCTGTAGCAGAATTATATAAATGAGGTATTAGAAGAGATCATAAGGAGTATTGCTTTGGTAAAGTCATTAGGATCCTTCATGATGCCGGGATTCAATCTGTAGAGTGCTGTCGACAGAAGCATCATGCCTGTGCAGAGGGACGTGCCCCCTCAGAATTGTCTTGTTATAAAATATCTACTTTTTTTCTGTAATACTACTAGCCACCTAGCAATTTTATGAAGTTGGCTTTAGCTAGCCCAGATAGGTTCCCAATCTCCCAATCTCATAACTAGTTACCAAGAAGCCATTTCAGCCTATCAATCAAGTTAAAGTAGCGGGCAAGGTTGGTAGACTTTCTTTTTCTAGAAAAGCAAGCAATAACTAAATGTACTGAATAAGACTCACATTCCTTTCAATCTTTTACCCAGATTTCCACAGAGATGCAGAGAAGCAGAGAAGCATATTTAGTTTATTTTAAAAAAGAATTACCAGTCAGGAGGATACAGACAGCTCAAGAGGTATGCTTAGATATGCAGAAAAATAAGACATATTTTTTTACATAGAACTAAGCATAATGATTATGGATCTAGATTGCAGGAAAAAGCAGTTTCAGAAATGAAAAATTATCCAACTTCCAGACGAGGGGCCTAGGCCCCCTCCGGACCACCCCCCAGCCATCCTTACATATTTGTGCCCCCTCAGATTTTTGTGGTGCCTGACGGCCCTGGCTGTCGACACTGGATTGTAAAGGCAATGTTCCTGCATTCCTGGAGATCACACTCACAATAAACGCTGCAAATGTCGGCTCAATCGGAAATTACCTTTAAAAGTCAGTTATAGTGCGCTGAGCTATAACATGCTTGAATTGTGTTTCTGGTCTAACCCTAGTGTGTTTCTGGTCTAACCCTAGTGTGTTTCTGGTCTAACCCGTCTGTAATTCTTCCTCTTATCTTAGGTGGAGCATATTACCTCATATCAAGGAGTTTGGGCCCTGAATTTGGTGGCTCCATTGGTCTCATCTTCGCCTTTGCTAATGCTGTGGCTGTGGCCATGTATGTTGTGGGCTTTGCTGAAACTGTCGTTGAGATGCTCAATGTAAGGAACATTTGATATGCCTGTATAGTGAACTTTGATTGGATCGCTGTGTGTCAAGTTGAAATTTGACATAGCAACAACAGTAACCGCCTTGAGTGATTGTTTCCTGATTGACAGGATGTAGATGCCCTGATGACAGATGAGCTCAATGACGTCCGTATAGTGGGCACCCTCACTGTCATCCTGCTTCTGGGCATCTCAGTGGCAGGGATGGAGTGGGAGGCGAAGGTAAGGCCCACAGAGCAATGCACTGTCACACATAGTAACACAAGGAAACCTTGCTTTTACTTTTGACTCTTGTCATAGTGCCTTTATGGAACTTCTGGCAGATAAACATGTTGAAACTCGGTATCACTCACGACTCAACTTTCCCTTCCAGGCCCAGATTGTGTTATTGGTCATTCTTTTGGCCGCCATCTTCAACTATTTCATCGGAACCGTCATCACCATGGAGTCAAAAGAGCCCAAAGGCTTCTTTGGCTACAAAGGTTTGTCTGATGGTTAAACTATGCACTCATTTCCAGATCCCAATTTGGAATTCTACTTCTGTTGAATTCTACTGACATTAATCTAGTCTCAGATCTGTTTGTGCTTTTGCCTACCTAATTGTCATTTTCAAGGCAAACACCTTTGGCAGGACAATTCCATAAGGAGTTGACTAGAGAGCAGGAACAGACTGGCACCGAGGCTGGCATTATATGTAATGGCTTACGACTGCCCAATTGAATCAAGATTACATTTTCACGTCGTCTTCTTTTTCATCCCAAGCGGCTATCATGATGGAGAACATGGGCCCGGATTTCCGAGACGGCGAGACGTTCTTTTCCATGTTTGCCATTTTCTTTCCGGCTGCAACAGGCATCCTGGCAGGTGCCAACATCTCAGGAGACCTTACAGTAAGACCTTGGCTTCTCTTAAAGGTCCAATGCATCCGTTTTATCTCAATATCAAATAATTTCTAGGTAACTATTAAGTACCTTATTGTGATTGTTTTCAATTAAAATGGTCAAAAAGAAACAAAAATAGCTTCTTAGCAAAAAGCAATTTCTCAAGCAAGAATTTTGCAAGGACTGTCTGTGAGTGGTCTAAGTAGGGTTGCAAAGGGAGGGTATTTTACTGGAAACTTTGCCAGTAAACTACCAGAATATTGGTATCTTTTAAGGATTTTATGTAATCTATCAAAATACTTCTAGTGGCCCTTTTGGGTACTTCAGATTATCACGTGTCTGCAATTATCTCTGGCCCTCTCTCTGACCTTATCACATGTAAAATATATGAAATAATTAAATAAGATGATTTTAATATAAAAAACAGAAGACAAAGCTGTAAAACATTATCCTAAATATAAACCATGAACTTAGTGAATACCATTGGTGTTTGATATGAGGGTTTCAGCATTTAATATCCTTTATATTTATTTTACAATGCCAATGTATTTCTTGTCAATGTTTTGGCGTCAAACTGGTGGCAGTTGTGGAAAAAGTAAATAGTTGGACGAGTTGCAGAGGTAATTGCAAATTGTTGATTAGATGCTTTTTTAAAATTAATTATGCTATTTTCTCTTGGACCATATGACTAGAAACTCATGGACAATATGGACACAGATATAAAAAAATTATATTATATATGAATACATTTGTTTTAAGTTATTCAAGTATAAATTACCAAAATTACGATAGATTGCCATAGATTTTCTCTTAATTTCCAAAATTACTGAAGATTCTGGTAACATTGATACATTACCAGTAGCTTTGCAACCTTAGGTCTGAGTTGGGAGGGGGAAACTGAAAACTCATGTTATTGGCAGAGAGGTTTGGAACTCTCTTTCTTATTGGTCAAATAATGAATTTACCGCCTGGTGATGTCACCAGGCAGGCCAAAACTCCATCCCACCTAAACAGGCTGAAATTTCAGGCGGTCTTTTCAAACAGCTCTTACACTAAAAGGGCATTATCATTATTTTCACAATTTCACAGTATTATTTCAACTTCCATAGTGTGGTAATGTACACTGCTCAAAAAAATAAACACTAAAATAACACATCCTAGATCTGAATCTCTAATGCAATCCCCAGAAAGGGTGCATGTCAGCAGTCAAGTTTTCAAGATGGAGCACTTTCAATATAGAGCAAAAACTGTTTTTATGTATTCACAACAAAACATTGAGAATGTCATGGGCGGCGCACAATTGGCCCAGCGTCGTCCAGGGTAGGGGAGGGAATGGCCGGCAGGGATGTAGCTCAGTTGATAGAGCATGGCGTTTGCAACGCCAGGGTTGTGGGTTCGTTTCCCAGGGGGGGGCCAGTATAAAAAAATAAAAATATATATATGTATTCACTAACTGTAAGTCGCTCTGGATAAGAGCGTCTGCTAAATGACTAAAATGTAAATGTAAATGTGTTTTTCTGTCCCCCTAGGATCCTCAGTCAGCCATTCCAAAGGGCACTCTTTTGGCCATCCTTATTACTGGAATTACTTATGTGGCAGTGACGGTTTCTACTGGTAATCATTATCTTTATAAAGTGAACATGAAGTTACAGTAGCAAGACGAGAACACTTTAAAATTAATAAAAATTCCACAGTTATTTAATTGAAGATTCAAGTTAGTATTCTCATCCTTTCTTACAGGATCTTGTATTCTTAGAGACGCTACTGGCGATCACAATGATACCTCCAGTGTCAGTGACTTGAACTGCACGGATGCTGCCTGCACACTGGGTTATGACTTCTCGATTTGTAAGGAAGGAGGCTGCAAATTTGGGCTTATGAACGATTTCCAAGTATGTCTGGGCCTGGGGTAATGGGTAGGATTATCTTAACATTGACACTAACATACACCTACAATAATGCTTAAACTCACATTATGTAACAACGTTTAGCCAGATAGCCTACAACTTAAAGTGATAGTTCACCCAAACTACAACATTGCATATTGGTTTCCTTACCCTGTAAGCAGTTTTTGGTTTTGTTTACCTGGTCGCTGTCAGGAAGGAAACCAATATGTAATTTTGTAATTTAGGTGAACCATCCCTTTAAAATAGTATCACGCGTTATAACCCCCACCCCGATTCTGATTGTCATTCTAGCTACAGGTAGAAGCAGGTCTCCTACCTCTGCTGAAAGTTGACCTCTAGTCTAGCACAACGCTCTGCTTGGATATTTTCAGATATGCTTTTTTCCAAAAGGAATTCTGAGTGAATTCTTTAAAATAGTAATCACCTGGTATAGAGCCTTATAAAAGAGATGGTAACCTTATATGATACTTTAACACCATGGTAGTTGTTTGATGTGGAGTGCTGAGAGTTTGATATGGGTTAGTGTTGTGCAATTTAGTGATAAAATGGGCTGCAAATAATTATTCAGTTTCTCATGGCAGTTCAGAAGCTGCATTTCCCTCACTATGCTATTCTCCTTCCTGCTTTCCTTTATGACAATAGATGTAGGGGCTCGCAGTGTTAGTTAGTGGTAAACAATGGGAGCTGGGATAATAGTGCTTGTGTTGTGAGTCACAAGGCATTCTCTAGGTCTTGAATGAGACCATTGACAGCCACCACTGCGCGTAGGCACCCACCCTCTTTGTGACACTGATATCAGAGGCAAGTGGTACAGGGTTGCCCAGTACCAAAGCCAAGTGCACTTACATGGCATTACTGACAAAGGCACTTGTCCATTGGTTTGCACAGCAGACATAGAGTTGAACAATACACCTTGCTGTTGTTGTTTTTCCCCCCCGATGAATACACACTGCAAGCCTTTTACAAAGTGGTCATGGTTAGCATTAACCTTTCTGTGTTTTCCGACATACTCATATACCTTGAGGTGTTTTGCCATGACTTTGCATGGCTTTCTCCCCACTACCACTAATGGCTTAGCACCCCTATGGTATGTATAATACCCCTCTAAAACATTACCTTTGTTTTTGCATTTCAATCTTTTCAATAGCTATAGTTTAATCTCAGTTCATGAGAGAATGTGTGTGTTGCCTGATACCATTGAAGGTGCCAACTAGTGAAGTAAAGTCTAGGATTGTTGTCGGCTAGGTCATGAGTTTGGTGTCTGGGTTTGGACCTCTGATCACTGCTGGTATCTTCTCGGCCACGCTGTCATCAGCCCTGGCCTCTCTCGTCAGTGCCCCCAAAGTCTTCCAGGTGAGAACCCTCCTTCAGTATTTGTTATTGTTCTAATATTTTCGAGGAGTACATTTTTAGGACTGGTTTCCCAGACACAGATTGGGCCTGGACTAAAAAGCATGCCAATGGGAGTATACTCCTTCAAATCGGGAGAACCTCTCACAGATCCGTAGTATAAAAGACACCTGTCCACAACCTCAAACAGTCACACTCCAAACTCCACTATGGCCAAGACCAAAGAGCTGTCAAAGGACACCAGAAACAAAATTGTAGACCTGCACCAGGCTGGGAAGACTGAATCTGCAATAGGTAAGCAGCTTGGTTTGAAGAAATCAACTGTGGGAGAAATTATTAGGAAATGGAAGACATACAAGACCACTGATAATCTCCCTCGATCTGGGGCTCCACGCAAGATCTCACCCCGTGGGGTCAAAATGATCACAAGAACGGTGAGCAAAAATCCCAGAACCACACGGGGGGACCTAGTGAATGACCTGCAGAGAGCTGGGACCAAAGTAACAAAGCCTACCATCAGTAACACACTACGCCGCCAGGGACTCAAATCCTGCAGTGCCAGACGTGTCCCCCTGCTTAAGCCAGTACATGTCCAGGCCCGTCTGAAGTTTGCTAGAGTGCATTTGGATGATCCAGAAGAGGATTGGGAGAATGTCATATGGTCAGATGAAACCAAAATATAACTTTTTGGTAAAAAATCAACTCGTCGTGTTTGAAGGACAAAGAATGCTGAGTTGCATCCAAAGAACACTATACCTACTGTGAAGCATGGGGGTGGAAACATCATGCTTTGGGGCTGTTTTTCTGCAAAGGGACCAGGACGACTAATCCGTGTAAAGGAAAGAATGAATGGGGCCATGTATCGTGAGATTTTGAGTGAAAACCTCCTTCCATCAGCAAGGGCATTGAAGATGAAACGTGGCTGGGTCTTTCAGCATGACAATGATCCCAAACACACCGCCCGGGCAACGAAGGAGTGGCTTCGTAAGAAGCATTTCAAGGTCCTGGAGTGGCCTAGCCAGTCTCCAGATCTCAACCCCATAGAAAATCTTTGGAGGGAGTTGAAAGTCCGTGTTGCCCAGCGACAGCCCCAAAACATCACTGCTCTAGAGGAGATCTGCATGGAGGAATGGGCCAAAATACCAGCAACAGTGTGTATTGGCGAATATACAGTATATACATTTGTTCAAATGGGCAGAATATTGTAAAAAATAAATATATAAAAATGTGACGGCTGGCTGGTGGCTCCGTAATCAATAAGCTCCCAGTTGCATTTTTTCGATATGAAAAGGAGACGATAATATGACTGGCCTGCACTGCACATAGGGAAGTGTCCAGATGACTGTGAGCTGATTGACCAGTAGGCTAAATATGAATGTTCTGAAAGCTTAATTCTAATCAATCATGAATACAATAACAAACCCATTGCCCCCTTATGGAGCATCAGTGGGACACAAGTCTTGCTGAGTCTATGAGATAGTGCACTATTAACGGCAGCACCGCTTTATCAAATGTTCATATAGATATTTTAGGCCATGCCGTAAAAACAGTTTTCATGGGCACACAAATCCAAATTCGAATGCTTTAACCGAAACTTGCGTGGTTCTTCAATAGGCTATGGATAGGCTAATATACCTGCTTGTTAGATGCGCATTTGGTATCCAGCTGTTTAGTTAGGCCTAGTGGTATTGTCGACTATCATCAGCTGATCCAGGAAATATTTTTCTGAATGACAGTCAAGTGACAAACAGCTGTTGTGAGATAGCATGCGATGCAAAAACAGTTATGTTGATTATCCGCTTGATTTACAGCAGGGTCTACAAGATGTAACAGAGAAAGCATCAAGGTAATGAGTTAATGTTTTCATGTGTTTCTGTGCGTCGGATTGAACACAGAAGGCTATTGTGTGCAATTGTGTAAGATAACCTAGGCAAACACCCAACGGTATTTTCCTTTCTATCACTCAGGACATTTAATGACAACAAATGAGTAGCCTAGTGGGCTTGTAAACAGTGAATTTGAATGATGTAAATAATGATAATGATGATGGTGAGAGCCCAATAACAGATGGACTCCGATCCCTTTAATCATAGAGGCTATTGTTACTTTGTGTCTCTAAAATCACAATGTTACCATTGCTATTGTCATGTGACAAAGAGTCTTTTTAAAATTGAAATGACCAAATGTCGGCCTTTTTCGCATGAACTGTTTATTTTCATAAATTCGGTAGCCTATGCTACAAAATATTATATTCTGCCCGTAGCCTAAAGAACAGCTACATGATTTAATGAAAAGCAGCAAATAAACACAACATTGTTTCACATTCTTTAATAAAAGACTGTTAAACAGAAACAGGCAATAGGCTTCAGCTCGCTACACAGTAGGCCTACAAGGAAACTCAATATATCTCGACGACCTTGAGTGTACAGGCGTCTGTACGCAGCGTAGTACCTTCCACAAAAAGTTTTGCTTGACAAAAAGACACGTAAGCGGCTTAATCTGTGTCCGGGAAACCACCCCTTTATTTTAGACATTATTTTAGATATAAAATATTATGTCAAAAACAAGTAAACGGTATGTCCTGTCAATTTAATTGGATGTTAGACCTTTCCCCCTTTATATGCTTGGATTTGGTATTTCAATGTGTATGTGTGGCTGTTTAGGCTTTGTGCAAGGACAACATCTACCCAGGCCTCCATGTCTTTGCTAAGGGATATGGAAAGAACAATGAACCTCTACGGGGCTACGTCCTCACCTTCTGTATTGGTCTGGCCTTCATTCTTATTGGTAGGTTTTTTGTACATTATTGAGCATTATGGGTGATGAAGTCATTCTAGTTTCAAACAAACAGATTACTACGGTGTACAAAATGCTTAAAAAGATTCACTTAATTCTCTCCCTGTCACTACTGTATCAGTCTATTTATAGTTTTATTTGTGATTTCTCCCCTTAGCTGAGCTGAATGTCATCGCTCCCATCATTTCAAACTTCTTTCTGGCCTCATATGCCTTGATAAATTTCTCTGTGTTCCATGCGTCTCTGGCCAACTCTCCAGGTAAGGATTGGATTTGATATGTACTCTCCGATATACTCACTGTCTTTTCATTCAAATTAATCATAGCCCTTTACACTCGTACCCATATACGGGTTGAAAATGGCAGATTTGACTGATAAAACCTAAATTGGAATGCAGCGGCTGTGCAGTAACATGCTATACATGACGTCAGAGCTCTCCCACTGGGCACCAACTGGTTGAATCAACGTTGTTTCAACGTAATTTGTTAACGTATTGTGACGTGGACTCTACGTGGAAAATATATTGGATTAAAAAAAGTAATCAACTTGTTTTGGGGGCGAAATTTCAACAACAGGATTATGTCATTATGGTAACCAAATTTCAACATAGACAAACCTTGTGTAAAATATGTTGAATTTGTAACTTTCAGATCTTCAACATTATATCCACTATCAGAAAAAAACTATAGGCTGGGTAGCACCTCCTACTGGAGAATGTATCTATCTACAGCTACCCTTTTGTTTCCCATTCAGGGTTTTAACCAAGCCCAGCCCTGCTTAGCTATGATGTTTGTCACTGATTATTACCAATGTACTATCATGAGAATAATTGTTGAGAGATCTCCAGTTAAAAACTAAATAGATTCACTGTTGCTATCGAAGTCATTGCAAAGGGTAGGTTTAACAGAGCAAATTAACCAATGGGTTTCAAGCTCTGGTTGATTAAAATGTAATGATATTTAGTGATATTCAATTGTGTTTGGTTGTCAACTACATTTTTATTTCTACATTGTTTGCTAAACTGATATCAGACACAAATTAATGCCAGAATTACATGAAAAACAATCAATTTATTACAGGTGGGGGTCAAAACAGTTGGCGCTCTACCCTGAATGACGGGTCGCCACTGGCTCAGATGCAACTATCCAAGCAGTAGATTCAGCTCCTTTAAATGCTGATACTTAATTGGGTTGTCAAATCAAATCAAATCAAATTGTATTTGTCACATGCGCCAAATAAAACAGGTGTAGACCTTACAGTGAAATGCTTAATTACAAGCCCTTAACCAACAATGCAGTTTTAAGAAAGAATACCACAATTTAAAAAATTAAAAATAATACAAAATAAAAGTTACAAATAATTAAAGAGCAGCAGTAAAAATAACAATAGCGAGGCTATATACAGGGGGTACCGGTACCGAGTCAATGTGCGGGGGCACCGGTTAGTCGAGGTAATTGAGGTAATATGTACATGTAGGTAGAGTTATTAAAGTGACTATGCATAGATAATGAACAGAGAGTAGCAGCAGGTGTTCCTTTTGTCCAGGTGTGAAAGGGCAGTGTGGAGCGCAATAGAGATTGCATCATCTGTGGATCCGTTGGGGCGGTATGCAAATTGGAGTGGGTTTCGGGTTTCTGGGATAATGGTGTTGATGTGAGCCATGACCAGCCTTTCAAAGCACTTCATGGCTACAGATGTGAGCGCTACGGGTCGGTAGTCATTTAGGCAGGTTACCTTAGTGTTCTTGGGCACAGGGACTATGGTGGTCTGCTTGAAACATGTTGGTATTACAGACTCAGACAGGGAGAGGTTGAAATTGTCAGTGAAGTCACTTGCCAGTTGGTCAGCGCATGCTCGGAGTACACGTCCTGGTAATCTCAGTATATATACACCTGTTCTGAAAGGCCCCAGAGTCTGCAACACCACTAAGCAAGGGGCACCACCAAGCAAGCGGCACCATGAAGACCAAGGAGCTCTCCAAACAGGTCAGGGACAAAGTTGTGGAGAAGTACAGATCAGGGTTGGGTTATAAAAATATATCTGAAACTTTGAACATCCCACGGAGCACCATTAAATCCATTATTAAAAAATGGAAAGAATATGGCACCACAACAAACCTGCCAAGAGAGGGCCGCCCACCAAAACTCACGGACCAGGCAAGGAGGGCATTAATCAGAGAGGCAACAAAGAGACCAAAGATAACCCTGAAGGAGCCGCTAAGCTCCACAGCAGAGATTTTAAGCCGTACACTCCACAGAGCTGGGCTTTACGAAAGAGTGGCCAGAAAAAAGCCATTGCTTAAAGAAAGAAATAAGCAAACACGTTTGGTGTTCGCCAAAAGCCATGTGGGAGACTCCCCAAACATATGGAAGAAGGTACTCTGGTCAGAGGAGACTAAAATTGAGCTTTTTGGCCATCAAGGAAAACGCAATGTCTGGTGCAAACTCAACACCTCTCATCACACCGAGAACACCATCCCCACAGTGATGCATGGTGGTGGCAGCATCATGCTGTGGATATGTTTTTCATCGGCAGGGACTGGGAAACTGGTTAGAATTGAAGGAATGATGGATGGCACTAAATACAGGGAAATTCTTGAGGGAAACCTGTTTCAGTCTTCCAGAGATTTGAGACTTTTTTTGTGCTTTTAGATGGTTAAAAGCACATTGATAACCAGTGGCATATATTCATGGATGCCAAGGGAAGCCTCCAAAAAAAAAATACCATGAAAAATATATATATAAAAACCATTTTGCTTTCCTCTCTCTCTGTTTCATAATTTTTGCAAGAGGCTGAATGTATCTCACCGGAGAAAGCATTCGAGCGAGAGAAACAGCGCCCCCCTGTCTCTGTATGTTTAGGCCATCTATCTGATGCTGTCTGGTCCAAAAGAGTTTGACATTGTTGCCACCTGTAGCATTGAATGCAAGGGAAGCCAGCGAGCATTTGGTCTCCCTTGATAAAAAAAGTATAAAATAATAGCCAATCAGCATTGAGCTAAACTGAGTGAGCTCAACTGTGAATGGTCCTGGCGCACCAAAAAAAGTGTTAAGGGCAGACAGTTTGGACTTGGCGTCAATCCTTTCAAATTGCATTGTGAGCATATGTCATTGACAGAAACAACTTGAATTGTTGCATCTCATTGTGTTGTTGTTTTCCGGTGGTTAGCTAGCTAGCTAAAATTGTCCCTTTCCTAAATTAACCATGGATAGAGATAGCGATTTGGACTTGTGGTTTTATTTAATTCTCTGTACTGGCCAATGATTATAACAGCGATTCTGATCCAACCATTAATGAATGCATTGTTCCCCTGGCCTGAGAGGATGGAAGGCTAATGTTAACTAGCTAATGTTGCCCATGAAAGGAAGTTAGGCTAGCGAGCGAACATTTTAGCCAGGTAGCCTAGAGTGATAGACCATGAAAGAGAGGAGGATGGCATTGGCGTTTCTCTACAAGTAGGGTCAGTCAACATGGTTTTTCTACTTGCACGAATGCACACACACACAGAAATCAAAAACATGGATAGCCACATCATATTTAGCTTACATTGACTGAACTAAATTGTTTTTGGTATCTTTTAGTTGTCACTGTATTAGACTAAGCATAGGTGATTTGATGATGTTGAAATGTTGAAGTTGAAATGGTGCTGGAATAGTGGAGGCAGCTCCTGTTTTCTTTGCGACTTGAGGTAACTCTCCGTGGTTTTAAATCAACAGTTGTTTAGTGATACGAAAATGTCGGAAACATTAACTTGCTTGACCATGCTGTAGGTCATGTAACTGTTTGTTACATGCAATATGCTTTGTGGACTTCACCGGACAGAGGTTGCTCTCTGGTTTGGTGAAGAAACAAAGGTGTGGTTGATTTTACCAACGCACCGGTACTGGTGATAACACGAAATTCAACTAACTTTTGGCTGTCTTTTTGAGTGAGTGAATATAGGTTGTAATTGTATTGACCAAAGTCTCAACCAAATATTACCCAATCATATCCACGTTGAAATTATGTGGTGTGCCCAGTGGTCTGGCTCTTCTTTTCACAGCACCTTATGGGTTTTGACTGACAGCCATTCTGAATTTGAGCACCTCGTGCGACAAGAAGTTGCCCCCATCTCTCCCGCTAATTAGGCAACTTTTGCAATTTCTTTGTTGTCTGAGTGAGGGAAATGCTGTAAATTAAGAGGACTATGAATTTTGCTAAACACCCATGAGTCCAAATGTGCACTTCACATTTTCATATCATAAAACTCAAGTCATATACAGTGTCAACGTTAATGATCACTATGTTTGGGCGTCATACCCTGGGTTGTTTTGAACAGAATGAGCCTATGTTTGTCTATTGTGAAGAAAGTTCGCCGCGGCACACACATCTGAAAAATTGCATTGTGTAAGCTTAACATTGTAATATCGTATTTTATAACTTAGCTAGTCATGTTGGCAATGGAACAAGCTTTCAAATTATGCCCAACTGACCCAGATTACGATTTATAATGGACCGTTCTTGGATTGCGTAAACAACAACAGTAATTGTGTTATGGCGGGGATGCAGGGTTGTGTTCCAAACAAAATAACTACAAGCATGCTTGCTGTAGATACTCAACGGCATATCTAGGAGTGTTCAAAAAGGCAACTTATAGTTAAAGACTCTTCTTTGAGTCATAAAAGGCATTACAATTACTTAGGAACTGTGCACACTTTGGAGAGGTGTTTGGCCACTTGGCGACACTAGTTAGTCCTCTTACTCGAACCCTTCTTATCATATTACTGAATATATCCAGAGTATTTTCAAATGTCGTTATCAACAACTGCGGTGAAAAGTACAATAAATGTAAAATACACATAAAATCAACAGTGTAATGTTTGGATTCATCAGGTGAACTGTTGTGTCTTCACCTTTGGTCTAATAATTTTCCCATTATCTCCAAACTGTTCCCTTTCAATTGCTACAATGGTTATGCATTTCATATTTCTTCTTTAAGAAACATTTCAATTTAGCCCTATCCATATAGGCCAATTCCCATGAGTGTAAAAGGTTAAACGACTTTCTAACTCTAATGTTGTTACACACTGATGTCACTACATATATATTCCCAAACATGTACAGTACCAGTCAAAAGTTTGGACACACCTACTCATTCAAGAGTTTTTCTTTATTTTTACTATTTTTTACATTGTAGAATAATAGTGAAGACATCAAAACTATGAAATAACACATATGGAATCATGTAATAACCAAAAAGGTGTTAAACAAATCAAAAATATATTTTATATTTGAGATTCTTCAAATAGCCACCCTTTGCCTTCATGACAGCTTTGCACACTCTTGGCATTCTCTCTCTTGTTGGCTGCTTTTCCTTCACTCTGCCGTCCGACTCATCCCAAGCCATCTCAATTGGGTTGAGGTCGGGGGATTGTGGAGGCCAGGTCATCTGATGCAGCACTCCATCACTCCTTCTTGGTAAAATAGCCCTTACACAGCCTGGAGGTGGGTTGGGTCATTGTCCTGTTGAAAAACAATTGATAGTCCCACTAAGCCCAAACCAGATGGGATGGCGTATCGCTGCAGAATGATGTGTAGCCATGCTGGTTAAGTGTGCCTTGAATTCTAAATAAATCACAGACAGTGTCACCAGCAAAGCACCCCCACACCATAACACCTCCTCTTCCATGCTTTACGGTGGGAACTACACATGCAGAGATCATCCGTTCACCCACACCGCGTCTCACAAAGACATGGCGGTTTGAACCAAAAATCTCAAATTTGGACTCCAGACCAAAGGACAACTTTCCACCGGTCTAATGTCCATTGCTCGTGTTTCTTGGCCCAAGCAGGTCTCTTCTTCTTATTGGTGTCCTTTAGTAGTGGTTTCTTTGCAGCAATTCGACCATGAAGGCCTGATTCACACAGTCCCCTCTGAACAGTTGATGTTAAGTTGTGTCTGTTACTTGAACTCTGTGAAGCATTTATTTGGGCTGCAATTTCTGAGGCTGGTAACTGTAATGAACTTATCCTCTGCAGCAGAGGTAACTCTGGGTCTTCCATTCCTGTGGCGGTCCTCATGAGAGCCAGTTTCATCATAGCGCTTGATGGTTTTTGCGACTGCACTTGAAGAAACCTTCAAAGTTCTTGAAATGTTCTGTATTGACTGACCTTCATGTCTTAAAGTAGTGATGGACTGTCGTTTCTCTTTGCTTATTTGAGCTGTTCTTGCCATAATATGGACTTGGTCTTTTACCAAATAGGGCTATCTTCTGTATACCCCCCCCCCCCCCCCCCCCCCCACCACCTTGTCACAACACAACTGATTGGTGATTGGTTCAAACGCATTAAGAAGGAAAGAGATTTCCACAAATTAACTTTTAAGAAGGCACACCTGTTAATTGAAATGCATTCCAGGTGACTATCTCATGAAGCTGGTTGAGAGAATGCCAAGAGTATGCAAAGCTGTCATCAAGGCAAAGGGTGGCTATTTGAAGAATCTCAAATATAAAACACTTTTTTGGTACTACATGATTCCACGTGTGTTATTTCATAGTTTTGATGTCTTCACTATTATTCTACAATGTAAAAAATAAAGAAAAATAAAGAAAAACCCTTGAATGAGTTGGTGTGTCCAAACCTTTGACTGGTAGTTTATATTTATATATTTTATCAATATGAATTTATTCTGTTATTTGTAATGTTTTGTTCTACCATACATTGTGCTCTCTCCCTTCTAAACAGGATGGCGGCCAAGCTTCAAATATTTCAATAAGTGGGTCTCGCTGGCTGGAGCTGTGCTTTGTTGTGCTGTCATGTTTGTTGTAAACTGGTGGGCCGCCCTTATGACCAATATCATTGTCTTGGCACTATATATATATGTCAGCTATAAGAAACCAGGTAAACGGTCCTCTTCTCACATCGTATTTGAGTGTATCTGGGACAGAAAACTATGGCCAGTCTTTTCTCTTGGCTGTCTGTCTTTATCATACACACATATTATAATACTAAATGTATTTTCACTATATTCTAGTGTTGATGCCGGCTGTTGTTACACTTCTTTTCAACAGTCATCTCTAATCTGTTATTTTATTGTATTTTTACTTCATTCTTTTTTCATTTTTCCATTTTATTCTCGCACAGATGTTAACTGGGGCTCCTCCACTCAAGCCTTGATCTATAACCATGCCCTGACACACTGCCTCCTTCTCACTGGTGTAGAGGACCACGTCAAAAACTTCAGGTAGCACAGCAGCCGGACCTTTAGAGGAGCATCAGTGTACCTGTTACACATCATACTGCATACTACTAAAAAATACCCACGTACTATGAAATGAACCTTGCACCTTGACGTTGTGTACTTCAGCAACAACATTCAATGTTCAAAATCAGGGTCCATTTATACCAAGTGTCTCAGGGCAAGTGTACTGATCTAGGATCAGGTCCCCCTGTCCATTCATAAACATCTAAAATGCAAATTCAGGATCTTAAATTACTCTTTATCTTAAATTACTCTTTTTTATTTAAGTTTGTATTGATTTAAACAAAAACTATACATCGTACAATGCTCCACAATATGTGAAAGTCTATATCTAGGTCTTGTGCTTCCAAATGAGTGGTATTATATAGTGGATGGTTAGCGGTGTTATGGTGCGTGCGTAACGGCGCTAAGTGGGAATTTACCACATTTGGGAAAAATACACTTGAACGGCCCTCCAACTGGTAATTACGAGTTAAATCAGCCATGAATCCCATTGTGACAGGGGGAATGGAAGCTTGTTGTGTGCAATTGAATGCAAGATTCACCCACATTTTTTTACATGAAAGACATGGAGTCACTAAATGACCAATAATCTATCATGTTTTTAATAATTGTTGTAGTCATTTAAATGCATTTAAATGCATGTTAGTGCTTTTGGTATGCCTTTGGTATGTGTCAAGTACAATAAAAATGCATTTTGACCAAATATATTGCAGCAGCCTATTAGAAGTATTGGAGGCACGGCTTGTTGGGGGCGTGGCTTTCATGTAGTGCTTTTTTGGCATCCCATGAGACAGATTGTCACGCTAGTTCAAATAAAACTAGAGTCGATGTCAATATCCCAAAGAGATCTAATTAGCGTAATAAAAAAAATCACAATCAAAAATTGGTCAGGTTAAGATATATATATGTTTTTTTTGTATTGGATGTGTCTCATCCCACTGCATCTGTGTTAAAAGGTGTCAGAGTGGGAGTGGTGTTTGTCAGACCATGAGACATCCCGAAAATCGGTCTTCTCACAAAATCGCCTGTAGCGTATGAAAGACGACACTCTCACGAACACGATGGTGTTCTTCGTTTTGCTCTACGACACCCACAAGCATTTTGGTACTCATCTGAAGTCAGTACAGCCGATCTGCCAACTTCTGTCTGTAGCGTCCAAACAGTTTGGGCTACACACTAATATGTGAAAGGTGAGACTCTCACGAACAAGTACCCGCCGGTTGTTTTGCTCTAGGATGCCACAGGCCTCAGAAGACTCGTCTGAAGGTACCCTGGTACCAGTTGAAAAAATGAATGGAAGTATATGTATAAGAAGACTGTTTAGTGCTAAAAAATAAGGGGTTAAATACATGTAAAAAACAACAACTAATGTTTCACTTCAGAACAAACTTCCTTTAGATTTTTGGGGGGACTATCTGTTGTTCCATGTAGTGAATCTGTTATCCAATGCGTTTGTATGGGCTAATAGCAGTAAGGCCCAAAAAGTTTTTGATCAAATATTTTTTGTTGATTTTTTTTATATACTTCAAGCAGTCTTAAAATTAAAAATCAAATAGCTAAATGATCCTTGGTATGACCTTCTTAAAAAAAGTCCCAGCTTTGACAGGGCTTAGACTCTAGGTGATTTTAAAGTGTCATGTGTTCTGTGATTAAAGGTTAAGTTTGTACACTGCGCCTACTAAAGTTTCATTGTTAAAACAGTCACCATTTTGTTCTATATTTGCCATACATTTTAATTAAAAAATGTTGTACAAATACAGTTAAGTACCTGTTGGAATATATTTTACAAAACATTTCCAAATAAATGTTTTAATATATTTACCAACTATACATGTAAAAATATATTCTAAAATACATTCTTTCATGTATTTCAGAATATTTTTAAAAAATGCTTTTTCTGATCCATTTAACATATATTGTCATTTACATTTAGCATACATGTGTATATATAGATTTGAAATACATTCCTTAATATTTGTTGGAATGTATTAAAATCTAGTAAATATAATATTTTTTAAATACATTATTTGGCCAATTTTTAATATTTCACAATTATCCCCAAAACAATTTTCGTTTATTACTTTTTTTTCCCATATGGGATAGACCCCAGTGTCTGGTGATGACTGGATACCCCAACGCCCGGCCTGCTTTACTCCATCTGGTAAACGCATTCACTAAGAACGTAGGCCTCATGGTGTGTGGCCACGTCCGCACGGTACGTATCAATACAAGCCTAGCCGCTAAGCCTTATCAACTACAATGCATCTCTGTACATACAAACACAGTATACATCTTACATATAGTTTACAGCTTAATCATATTTTTAGGAGTAACAGCTTTGATCGTTTTCATTGTCCTAAGGTGTCCCGTCGGCCAAACTTCAAGGAGATGTCTCTTGATCATGCCCGCTACCAGCGCTGGCTAATGAAGAACCGCATCAAGGCCTTCTACACCCCTGTGTTTGCTGAAGACCTGAGACATGGAGCCCAGTACCTTTTACAGGTGATTGTTCCGCAGTGCACTGCTAAAATATGTGGTATATCCTCAGTGGGGTGTCTGCCTAGCCTGGTCCCAGATTTGTTTGTTCTATCATGTTAACTCTTTGTCATGTTTACATTTTTACATTTTAGTCATTTAGCAGACGCTCTTATCCAGAGCGACTTACAGTTAGCGCGAGTGCATACGTTTTCATACTGGTTTAGCATGACCAGGAGAGGCATGATGGCACAAATGAACTGGTACCCAGGCTCTTGTCTATCATGATCTTTCTCAATGTGCCAATCACCATCTAAGCTTGATACAGGAGATATCGGCTTTGAATATCGATAATAATCATTGAGTATTACTGGCATAAGGAGGTAATTATGACCACACTCTATGCATGTTGTTCAAGGGATTTTTATTGAAAGTGTCAGGTAATGGCCTTCTAATATTAATATGTTGATGTAAAATTAAGTTCTGTTTTCATCTTCAAGGCCACAGGTTTGGGGCGTTTGAAGCCCAACACACTAGTGATGGGCTTTAAGAACAACTGGAGTGATGGCGAGATGAAAGATGTGGAAATGTATATCAACATCATCCAGTAAGTGTATCTAGTTTGACTGAATACATGGTTTGCTCTGGGGTGAAGTTTCCCCTAGGATCTAGGATCAGCTTCCCCTCCCCAATCCTAACCTTAACCATTAGTGGGGGAAAATGCTAAACCCAAGATCAGCATATAGAGGCAATTTCACCCTACATCGCATGCTTTCCTGAGGAAATCATGATTGAAATCACTTTGGCCATTTATGGTTATAATATATGTGTTAGTAACAAGCTGTGTGGTTGTGTTTCAGTGACGCCTTTGACTTGCAGCATGGTGTTGTCATCATCAGACTACAAGAGGGTCTTGATATCTCCCATATTCAAGACCCAGGTACAGTATTGTGTCATGCTGTGTTCTTCATTTGCCTAGGAACACTCATTCAACACACTCATTCCTCACAATCCAGTTTAACATTCCTTAATAGTACAGACATAAAGTAGATAGATTCAGACGGATGGAGCACACATCCTCTTTCTACCTGTTCTATGGATTTTTTCACAGTAGTAAGGGTGCATCCGAAATGGCACCCTATTCCCTGTAGTGCACTTATAAAGCGCTGAGATTTCTTTCTGTTATTATTATTTCTTTTGACCAGAGACCTATGAGCCCTGATCAAAAGTCATGCACTATATAGGGAATAGAGTGCCATTTCAGACGCAGCCTAAGGACTAGATAAAGTGCTATGAGGTTTGTCTGATTGCCCCTTCTCCAGATGAGCTCCTGTCGTCCCATGAGAAGAAGGATGCGGGTATGAAGGATGTGGTGGTGTCTGTCAACATGGGTGGCAAAGACTCAGAGGACAGTAACTCCTTTCCTCCATCCCTGATCACCAGTGCTCAAAACAGCCCTCTCATTCTCAGAGGTAATCTTTACATGCATTCATTAGACTAGAATTAGTATATAGGCACAGCGCTTCACAGGCAATGTTGTAAGACATAAAGACTCAGATTAACCCTATTCATGTCTTAAAAGTCCACTTTTAGTCCAGTTGGCTTAAGCTGGGTTTGTGAAACCAGCTCCAAAACAACCTTAAACAGCCCTAAAGTAATTAATGTCTACTGTTTATGCTCTGTTGAAAAGCTACAATGGGTCTTAGTCAGTCCCTCAAGGATTCAATGATTCTGCGATCGCCAAATGTTTTGCTAAATCAACAATTCCATGTATATTATGCGAGGGCTTGCAAATTTGACCAATCCCCGCACTATTTCGGCATAAAACAGTCAAATCATCGCAATATTATCTCATAAAACTGACCCATCACTGCAGTACAAAAAGAGGGCTCGCAATTTCAACCAATCACCGCATTATATGGTTCAATCAAGTGACACGTCAACAAACTTTTTCCCTTATCAGCGGATTTTCCAGACAAATTTGACAAAATCAGACCTTTTGGTGGGCATGTGCTCAAACAAAAAAAGGGCATCCCTCAAAAATGTTTCTGCAACCATGACTTGCAAAACTTTTTTGAACTGGAATAAATGCTGCACTTATTAACAATGACCAACACAGTTCCAGTCAAAATAGAAGATTGTATGAAATACTGTAGCATACCATTAACATACCATTACTATATCCAACCAAACTCCATTTGTTGGCACTATCATGTATCCCAGTGGTTTTCAAAAAGGAGTGGTACAAAACTTGCGACCCCCGCGCACGCACATGGACATGTGTACACCGGAACATGCGCGCACAATCGCTGCGCAAATGTATCCTGTCAGTACCGCCATAAACGGTTATGCATTTTCAAAACGCAAGATAGGCTACAGAAATGTACTGTGTTTTATACCTTCAGTTGGAGCTGAAAGTCATTCATGTTAGCAGCCAATATCAACTAGGAATATATCATGTCACTTCTCTGGAGTCCAGAGCAAGCAAAATCATACGGCCTACTTGTAGCCGAGATTGCAGGATCAGATAGAAAGCATGTTCTGTCTGCACTGTGCCATCACTTTGGAGGGCAGCCTCCCTGCACAGTGAAAGGAAAGGGGGATACCTAGTCAGTTGTACAACTGAATGCATTCAACTGAAATGTGTCTTCCACATTTAACCCAAACCCTCTGAATCAGAGAGGTGCGGGGTGCTGCCTTAATCGACATCCACGTGGCACTGCCTAGTATACAACTGTGCATGCCCAGCTAGTGATAGCATGGCAGCTAAGTGTGATATGTTTTCCTATGGGAAATTATAACAGTCCACTGTCAATGACCGTCTTTGATAATAACTACTGTGTGACTGACTTTGATGTGGTTGCTCCACAGAGACGAAGAGAAGTGCTAAGCCACTGAGCCTCACAGACCAAAGGCTTCTGGAGGCCAGCCAGCAGTTCAAGAAGAAGCAGTGCAAAGGCACAGTGGATGTGTGGTGGCTGTTTGATGACGGAGGTACAGTATGGAAAGTCAATGCTGTGATTACATTGTTAAGCACCAAACGAACGAAAACGTACTAAAATAGGCGGTATATCCAATAGGAAAAGCACATTTTCTGTTGCAAAACGTTTTGCTACAGTGAGCCCCAATGAATATGACCCCAGTGTCCACAATCAGATTGGACCTCAAAGAATGAGTCATAATTTATTACCATCACCCCTTATTTATCTGTTCCAAATGTTACAGGCTTGGCTCTGTTGATTCCGTACTTGCTCACGGAAAAAAAGAAATGGAAGGACTGCAAAATCCGTCTCTTTATTGGTGGGAAGATCAACAGGATTGACCATGATCGCAGAGCGTGAGTTACCGTTCCTTCAGTCATGATGTGAGCTTGAGGAATTTATAATATAATAATATATGGCATTTAGCAGCTGCTTTTATTCAAAGCGACTTACAGTCATTTATGCATACATTTTTTGTATGGGTGGCCCCAACCGAAATCGAACCTCCGATCCTGGCATCGCAAGCGCCATGCTCTACCAACTGAGCCCCATAAAAATTGCTTTATTCTTACTTGTTGATTGAGATACTTTCTCCTGTTTAAAATAGAATGGCTGCTCTACTCAGCAAGTTCAGGATAGATTTCTCAGCGATCTATGTGCTCGGGGACATCAACACGAAGCCAAAGAAACACAAGTAAGATGCCTGCTGTGTCAAGATCATCTTCTTTTTATATATATTCAAATGTGAGAGACGGAATCTAAAACAAAAATCCAGAAAATCACATTGTATGATTTTTAAGTAATTAATTTGCATTTTATTGCATGACATAAGTATTTGATCACCTACCAACCAGTAAGAATTCCAGCTCTCACAGACCTGTTAGTTTTTCTTTAAGAAGCCCTCCTGTTCTCCACTCATTACCTGTATTAACTGTACCTGTTTGAACTTGTTACCTGTATAAAAGACACCTGTCCTCACACTCAATCAAACAGACTCCAACCTCTCCACAATGGCCAAGACCAGAGAGCTGTGGAAGGACATCAGGGATACAATTATAGACCTGCACAAGGCTGGGATGGGCTACAGGACAATAGGCAAGCAGCTTGGTGAGAAGGTAACAACTGCTGGCGCAATCATTAGAAAATTGAAGAAGTTCAAGATGACGGTCAATCACCCTCAGTCTGGGGCTCCATGCAAGATCTCACCTCGTGGGGCATCAATGATGACAACACAATGATCAAGGTGAGGGATCAGCCCAGAACTACACGGCAGGACCTGGTCAATGACCTGAAGAGAGCTGGGACCACAGTCTCAAAGAAAACCATTAGTAACACACTACGCCGTCATGGATTAAAATCCTGCAGCGCACGCAAGGTCCCCCTGCTCAAGCAAGCGCATGTCCAGGCCCATCTGAAGTTTGCCAATGACCATCTGGATGATCCAGAGGAGGAATGGGAGAAGGTCATGTGGTCTGATGTGACAAAAATATAGCTTTTTGGTCTAAACTCCACTCGCCGTGTTTGGAGGAAGAAGAAGGATGAGTACAACCCCAAGAACACCATCCCAACCGTGAAGCATGGAGGTGGAAACATCATTCTTTGGGGATGCTTTTCTGCAAAGGGGACAGGACGACTGCACCGTATTGAGGGGAGGATGGATGGGGCCATGTATCGCGAGATCTTGGCCAACAACCTCCTTCCCTCAGTTAGAGCATTGAAGATGGGTCGTGGCTGGGTCTTCCAGCATGACAACGACCCAAAACACACAGCCAGGGCAACTAAGGAGTGGCTCCGTAAGAAGCATCTCAAGGTCCTGGAGTGGTCTAGCCAGTCTCCAGACCTGAACCCAATAGAAAATATTTGGAGGGAGCTGAAAGTCAGTATTGCCCAGCGACAGCCCCGAAATCTGAAGGATCTGGAGAAGGTCTGTATGGAGGAGTGGGCCAAAATCCCTGCTGCAGTGTGTGCAAACCTGGTCAAGACATACAGGAAACGTATGATCTCTGTAATTGCAAACAAAGGTTTCTGTACCAAATATTAAGTTCTGCTTTTCTGATGTATCAAATACTTATGTCATGCAATAAAATGCAAATGAATTACTTAAAAATCATACAATGTGATTTTCTGGATTTTTGTTTTAGATTCCGTCTCTCACAGTTGAAATGTACCAATGATAAAAAGTACAGACCTCTACATGCTTTGTAAGTAGGAAAACCTGCAAAATCAGCAGTGTATCAAATACTTGTTCTCCCCACTGTATATATATATATATTTTTATGGATTTTCAGATTTGATTGATCAGATAGAGAGAGAGGGTAACAGTGGGGTAAGATATGATCATAGGGCAGTAGACTGGATTCAAACCTATGCCAACACTGTAGATATGTGGCCGGAAGATGCAGCATATCCACTAGACCAGCCAGGCCACAAGATCATGTTCAACATGAAGGCATTTATAGGTCACTGAGAAGACTCTGTCAAAGAAACTGTGCAATATGTGAAGTACGAAGAAACCCATTAGCCTAGGACTATAATGACAATGTAATCGTAATTATAATGCAATAATAATGACGTTCATTCTGTGTACCGTTTACCTGTCTCTCCTAGTGTGCTTAGCTTTGAGGAGATGATTGAGCCGTATAAGCTAAAGGAGGACGACATGGAGCAGGAGGCTGCAGAAAGGTTGAAGGCTGAGGAGCCTTGGAGGATCTCAGATAATGAGCTGGAGCTCTACAGGGCCAAGGTCTGGATCTTTAAAAAAATGTACAGTACCAGTCAAAAGTTTGGACACACCTACTCATTTCAGGGCTTTTCTTTATTTGTACTATTTTCTGCATTGTAGAATAACAGTGAAAGACATCAAAACTATGAAATAACACATATGAAATCATGTAGTATCCAAAAAGGTGTTAAACTAATCAAAATATATTTTATATTCTTCAAAGTAGCCACCCTTTGCCTTGATGACAGCTTTGCACACTCTTGGCATTCTCTCAACCAGCTTCATGAGGAATGCTTTTCCAACAGTCTTGAAGGAGTTCCCACATATGCTGAGCACTTGTTGGCTGCTTTTCCTTCACACTGCGGTCCAACTCATCCCAAACCATCTCAATTGGGTTGAGCACGGGTGATTGTGGAGGCCAGGTCATCTGATGCAGCACTCCATTACTCTCCTTATTGGTCAAATATCCCTTACAGAGCCTGGAGGTGTGTTTTGGGTCATTATCCTGTAGAAAAACAAATGATAGTCCCACTAAGCGCAAACCAGATGGGATGGCGTATCGCTGCAGAATGCTGTGGTAGCCATGCTGGTTAAGTGTGCCTTGAATTCTAAATAAATCACAGTGTCACCAGCAAAGCACCATCACAGCTCCTCCTCCATGCTTCACGGTGGGAACCACACATATGGAGATCATCCGTTCACCTACTCTGCGTCTCACAAAGACATGGCGGTTGGAACCAAAAATCTCAGATTTGGACTCATCATACCAAAGGACAGATTTCCACCAGTCTAATGTCCATTGCTTTTGTTTTCTTGGCCCAAGCAAGTATTTTCTTCTCATTGGTGTCCTTTAATGGTTGTTTCTTTGCAGTAATTCGACCATGAAGGCCTGATTCACACAGTCTCCTCTGAACAGTTTATATTGAGATGTGTCTGTTACTTGAACTCTGTGAAGCATTTATTTGGGCTGCAATCTGAGGTGCAGTTAACTCTACTGAACTTATCCTCTGCAGCAGAGGTAACTCTGGGTCTTCCTTTCCTGTGGCGGTCCTCATGAGAGCCAGTTTCATCATAGCGCTTGATGGTTCTTGCCATAATATGGACTTGGTCTTTTACCAAATAGGGCTATCTTCTGTATACCATCCCTACCTTGTCACAAGACAACTGATTGGCTCAAACGCATTAAGAAGGAAATAAATTCCACAAATTAACTTTTAACAAGGCACACCTGTTAATTGAAATGCAGTCCAGGTGACTACCTCATGAAGCTGGTTGAGAGAATGCCAAGAGTGTGCAAAGCTGTCATCAAGGCAAAGGGGTGGCTATTTGAAGAATCTAACATATAAAATATATTTTGATTCGTTTAACACTTTTTTGGTTACTACATGATTCCATATGTGTTATTTCATAGTTTTGACCTCTTCACTATTATTCTACAATGTAGAAAATAGTAAAAATAAAGAAAAAACCTGGAATGAGTAGATGTGTCCAAACTTTTGACTGGTAGTGTATATTTTTAAGTTAATTTCAGATTTGATTGAACAGATAGAGAGAGAGGATGACAGTTGGGAAGGTTAGAGGTTGTGTCAAAGGGCAGTAGGCCAGATTCAAAGCTATATTGACGTCGTAGACATGTGTGCGGGAGGCTACGGCATTACCGCTAGACCAGCCAGGCCACAAAAGTCTGGATCTTACTGCCACACAGCGGGGCAAATACAACCTGCATCCACTGTCCTTTACTTATTACAGTATACACCACAGGAATCTGAATAGAATTCTGAATGGAATACTTTTCTACACTTTGTAGAAATTATTTGATTTGATTTCTCATACAGGTTGCACAAGTAAACACAGAAGCCTTGTTTTAGTCACATAGAGCATAGAGGCCTATACAGTAAGGAAAGTAAGAAAGCCTACATGGTTTGACCATATGTCATACTACAGTCCCTATACATTGGCAGTATAGAAAGCTATTTGAGAGGGTGCCATTGCATAGTGTCCTAGGAAGGAACAAAGATATAATTTGGGAATCTAGCCTTTGCTTACACCTCAGCTAATACATATAACTAATATAAGCTAAGCTGTTCTTATTTCTTTTTTCCCCAGACTAACCGACAGATCAGATTGAATGAATTGCTGAAAGAACACTCAAACTCAGCAAAACTCATCGTTATGTAAGTAGTTATAATATTACATTACGTCTAGAACACAAATATAAAGTGATGGTATTGAAATGAACTGTTGATCTATTTAATTATCTATTTAATACTGTCTGTCCATCCGTCCGTCCTTCCGACTGTGTGACTGACTGTCTCTCTGTCCAACAGGAGCATGCCATTGGCCCGGAAGGGAACGGTGTCCAGTGCCCTCTACATGTGCTGGTTGGAGACTCTGTCGAAAGACCTGCCTCCTATTCTCCTAGTACGAGGCAACCACCAGAGTGTCCTTACCTTCTACTCTTAAAATTCCTTGCGCTCCATTTAACTGACCAAAACTGTTATATTAGGAATTTATAGAATGGGGGTGTTTAAAAAGTGGGGGTGTTTAAAAAGTGTGCTTAAAGTGCATGGGGATGTTATGGAACTAATTGTGTACTAATTGCATTCTCTTTAAATCAAGTATTAGTTGAAGTAGGCTAAAGTACCATAAATGGTCTGTTCACAAGGACAGTAGGCCTAATTGTAACTTTACATAACAATACTGCGGAGTGTCTAAATAAAGAAATGTTGCTAATCTATGTAGTTATAGGGTGGCAGGTAGCTTAGTGGTTAAGGGCGTTGTGCCAGTAAGCGAAAGGTCGCTGGTTCTAATTCCCCGAGCCGACTAGGTGAAAAATCTGTCGATGTGCCCTTGAGCAAGGCACTTAACCCTAATTGCTCCTGTAAGTCGCTCTGGATAAGAGCGTCTGCTAAATGACCAATTATTTATACACTAGTCTGGGTACCAGTCTTTTCAGCTATCATTCCAGTCATTGCCACTCCTTTTCCTGCTAAACACACCTGTACTGAGATTTGGCATATGACACAGAGAACAAGGAGTGTAATATTACCTTAACAGACTGGTACCCAGGCTAGTTATACATCACCAACTGCACATGTAGAATGCAATAGGTTGCATCTCGGAGCCTCAAGACTGTGGTGAACTAAATTAATCAATGATAAAAGCACACACAAGTTAGCCTACTTGGATGCAGTCAGAAGTGTTTTTATTTATATATAATGCTTCTTTTAAGTTACATTTAGTCAACTAATATGTAAGGGATGGGGGGACATAACAGGCCAATGAAAAATTGTTGTGGCTGTTTGTCTTTATTTATTATTTGACACCTGTTGGTTTTCATTGCCCCCTTGGTGACGATGGCAAATTGTTAGTATTATCTGAGATTTGAAATATTTTCATTTTACATTGTGTTTCTTAAAAATGTTTGATATTTGTTTGGTCATTAATTAAGCTTCCATTCGATTTTTTTGGATCTGAACAATGGTTGTTTTCTGTGTGTTTGTCTTATCTTTTTGATGACAGTCGTTAAATTTTTTATTTAAAAGGTAAAACAATCTTTAAAAGCAAAGCCTCTATATTCTTAAATAACACTGTTATTGCCTATTTTGTACATTATGAAATTAAAGTCTTAACATCAACCACACACAGTCAGTAGCCTATTGTGTGATTTGTAATCTGGTTAGGCCACAAAATAAATCATGATCACTTGCACTACTAGGATTTGTGTGGTACTTCAGTCTGAAGTGTATTTAGTTTCTGATGAATTTGGATCAATGAAGCATAACATTGAATATGTAGGTAGGCATACGCATCAAAATCCTTGGAAAATAACAACACTAAAGCTTAGACTTTGGGCCAGTTGGATAGTGTTTGAGTGTAACGCTTCCAGCACACCGACTGCACATTGGGTTCGGGACACCATTTCCAATGGAACGCTGCGTTTGCCTTGCAGCATTGCTTTGCAGAGGCAGTTGCAGTGCGTTCTGTGTGGTGCATACCTTGGATTGATCTAACATATGCGTCAAACTGTATGCGTAAACGTGTTGACAGCAATGGTAGCAGAAGGTGAATGTTGAACTTTTGTTGCACACATATCTAGATGATGCTGCATACTATTCTGCGCAATGACACAGTTGGTGTGATGCTGCGTCCTATTTTGCGCAATGACACAGTCGGTGTGTTCAAAGCGTAATAAGCATGTCTTGCCAGTGTCGCTGTTGCACTTGCTCCTGAATCGTTTATACAACAATTCGGGCCCTGTCTCAGAAAGAGGAATACAGACCGCAGGCACGTACCAAGGTTAGTGGTTGAAAGTGCCTTATTCCGTCGGTTATTATAGTGACACTCAATATAGGCTACATGTCGGGTAAAATATATATGATTGGTTCGCGCGACAACTTGCATATTTATCTATATATATAGTTCCTCTCGTATCGCCTACAGTTTACACATGGAGTTGTGACAACCGGAGTCCTGTAGCCAAAATAATTAAATTTGGCAAAGGCAGTATAGCATTGTTATAGTTGTCGGACAGGCAGCAATACATCTTAAGAATCTTGAAATATCCATGTGTTTAAAAGCTTGCAACATCTCTTTTGAAGGCGCTATGGCTACCAAATTAAAACAAAGTTACATCATGTGAAAGGGCAGTACTAAATCTGATTGAGGTCGGTTGGACCAATGAGAATGTGGAAAAAACACCCTACCGTAGCAGGTTAGTCTACACTTCGTTGTTTTATAGCTCAATTCTACACTTGCTACTCTGTCACTATTGTAGGGTCATGGCTAGGTACGTCATAGTCCCGTTCACTACAACGAGAGTTTGCGTCTTACACAGCGTTGATTTCGACAGCAGACTGGTCTTAATTTCTACAGAATCACATGCTGGCTAGCGGGATTATTGCGGAAAATCTAGCTACAATTCGCCAATAAATTGACGTTCTACTGAGCACTACATTACATGATGTAAATACAAACATGAATTGTGTTATCAGCTAGTAATTTTGCCCCCGTAGAACTCAGATGACAGCGGCTAGGGTCCGTGTATGGAGGTTTTGAGTGCTGTTTTTCTGTTCTACTTGATAATTATTGCACCCACCTGTTGTCCCAACTCTACTAGTCCGTGATGGGAAGAATCGCATTTTTTAAAAATATATATAAATTGTATATACTAACTGGCCACCAGACTACAGAAACTATAGCAATGGAACTGAAGTAATGCAATTGCAATAACTATAACGTTAGCAATAGGAAAATGGCATGAGAGATATAAAAAAAAAGAACAAAGCGAGAAAGGAGAGAACATTTAAGGGGAAGGTAGGAGAGGAGTGGTGAGGAGACAAAAGGGAGAGGATAGGGGTGGAGAGTGTTCGACTTTTGTCTCCTCACCAGTCCTCTCATACCTTCTCCCTAAATGTTTTCTCTCCTTTCTCTTCTCCTGAAAAGTAAAAAAATAGTGTCTGTGGATGGACCCCCTATGCACTTGTGAAGATGTTTGGATAGGCTTAAGTATTATGATAATAGCTGATACAACCCTAACCCTTGTTTGATTGGTTAGTCTGTAGTCCTAGATGTGTTTTATTTGCTGTGTTTAGTGTGGTGTTTTGTATATTTAGATGTGTGTGTGTGTATTAACTCCCACTAATGTTCCTTTTTTTTTTTTTACCTTGTTCCCATTATCTGGGTTTTTGTCCTTTTCTCCTCGGCCTCCTGTTCTGTGAGAGACAAACCACACCACAAATATAATAGAATTTTGAGAAAGAGTTTTCTTTGTCAGAGAGCATATTGTAGAATGGAAATGTTAAATGTACCGTCGATAATCATAGAAAACAATCTTTATTTTGATAGTATTCTGGAATAATTTCATTGTCTACAGCATGGTCTGGTTTCCCGGACTCAGATTACACCTTGTCCTGGACAAAAAAGCATGCTCAATATAAATTCAATATAAAATCGTTTATTTGTCCAGGACTAGGCTTAAGACAGAAGAGGACAGGAGAGGAAGAGGGTGAGATGGAATATACAGTATTTAGCTTAGGTACAAGCATGCTAAGGGGTGTGGGGAGGGGCTAGGGGTAGACATGCCCAGGGGTCCTCAGCCACAGTCCAGGATCAGCAACACGTCCAGGTAGGCTTGGGCCAGGAACGTCCAGGAGTTATTAGACGTAGAAAATGACAAAAGAAGGGGGTTAGTGGGAGCATGCTTAGGTACATCAGATAAGACACAGTACACCAGATGAGACAAGCTGACCAAGGCCTCTAGTAAATATTTTGTTTACAACAAACGTGGCCCTTGTCTCCTGTTTATAATGGTTCAGATTGTCTTCAAAAGCTTAGTAGAATAGTAAAATACTATTCCTGCGGTAACTCTAGTTAAGACGGGACTATGACGTCACTTTTACAAAATCGGTATCCCTTCTAGCCATGACTCTGTTGTTGTTCTTCTTCTTCTTCTTCTTCTTCTATGATATCATGGCGGTCCGCAAACAAACATTTAAAGTGCATTTCGCCACCTACTGTGCTGGAATGTACGATCAATCATGAGCTGCCCGATTCTGTTCTACCATGAAAATAAAATTCAAAACCAAATAACTCCATAACTTCTACCACACACTCCCCCCTCCCCATTAAACTTTATTTATATCATGCTGAAACACTCCACCCTTAGGATTGTACAGCATGGCAACAACCATTTCAACAGTAACACCTGTTACCCCCAATATCTCTTTTGCCGTCTCCACAATAACCTTCAACCTGGCATTTCTGCTTTCCACAAACCGAGTCGTATTGAGTAGGTCCACTTACTACAGGTACATCCATGTAAGCCCCATCAGTCCGCACTGTAGTTCTACCAATCTGTCTTACTGCCTCTGCATAAGATACATCATGACTGATCCTATATCTCTGAGCCTCTCTAGCCTCTCTCTGAACCTGACATCCACCAAATGCTGCACTGTGTTCTCCCCCACAATTACAGCACTTAACCTTTGCATTGCTTCCACATTCACCGTAATCATGTTCCCCTCCACACTTGGCAAATATTTTATTTCCTTTACACTAAGCAGCTACATGTCCCATTCTTTGGCATTTAAAACACTGCAGGGCATATGGGACAAATTCTCTAACATTGAAACTAAGGAATCCTATCTGTACTTTTCCCGGCAAGACTTTCTCAAACCTCAGCATCACTGATAAGCTTTCACTTCTTTGACCCTCTTTCCTACTGATCAACCTTTTTGGTCTCAATCACTCTGCCTCCCTTCACATTTTCTTTAATACCATCTGTAGACATAGATATTGGGACCCCAGTGATGACTCCCCTCAATTTAGCATAAGCACCAGGGACATGGATTTTAATCTTCTTCCCATTAAGCTGTTCCATTTTCAGAATCTTCTCTTGCTGAGCCTGGCTACCACAAAATACACTGCTCAAAAAAATAAAGGGAACACTAAGATAACACATCCTAGATCTGAATGAATGAAATAATCTTATTAAAAACTTTTTTCTTTACATAGTTGAATGTGCTGACAACAAAATCACACAAAAATTATCAATGGAAATCAAATTTATCAACCCATGGAGGTCTGGATTTGGAGTCACCCTCAAAATTAAAGTGGAAAACCACACTACAGGCTGATCCAACTTTGATGTAATGTCCTTAAAACAAGTCAAAATGAGGCTCAGTAGTGTGTGTGGCCTCCACGTGCCTGTATGAACTCCCTACAACGCCTGGGCATGCTCCTGATGAGGTGGTGGATGGTCTCCTGAGGG